TGAATACTGTTACCTCTGTACAGTACATATAAATGTTGGCAATCTCTGTAAAAATAATCTGCAAGTGAAAAGGAGAGAATGAAGTCCCTCTCTGCTGGAGGTAATTTTTTTAAATTAGCTAAATGGATGGTAAATTGGTGATAGAAATACCCAAGAACTTTTCTTACATTAATTCTAGGGTTGGAAATATCTGTTTCTCGTAATTTGGCCTGACATGTATTTGCAATTTTATAACTAAATGTCCTTATGTTGAATCAGTGTACTCATGTCGAGTTTTTTTTATTAATTTTTTTGTGATAAAATAAGTGTCTGTATGTAGAATGGTCTGCATGTGGGGGTATCACTGTACAACAACATCAGTACTGTAATTGCATTATTTCATGAAAGCATGTATGAGTATTTTTGATATCTTTGAAATGAAAATGAAAACTTGGCGAGTGCCTTCTTGCTGATTTCCGTTTGGCTGCTGAAGGCAGAAGAGCGCCGAAGCCCTGCTTGCCGCCGGGGTGCTGGAGTGGGTGCTGAGTTGCTTGCTGCTGCGCCCCAAGCACTTAGAAGAGGATCCCTACATCCTCGAGTGCAGCCTTGGACTGCTGGCCAACCTGTGTTTGAGGGCGGGCGGACGGCTGAGGATGGCGCGCAATTCGGCTAGGGTCGCCAAGCTCGTTGAATGCCTGCTGACGGGCTCTCTCCGAACCCCGTCAAAGGTACTGATGTACGACTGTATACTGCACTTACAGGGCTACGTACTGTATGATCAACATTATTTACTTCGAGAATGTATGATAAATTCAAGAAGGATTTCCTAAATTCGGCAGATCCTGCGCAGAAACTTGCACATTTCTAGCGAGCCATTTTCCAAGATTCAGAAAATTAATGCAGTACCCGTAATGAACATTCATTATCCATCATGGCGCGGGAAAAGGCGGGATTGCAGCTGCAAATTTACACAGTTTACGCCCCCCCCCCCGGTATAGATGAGCTATTTGAAAAATAAAAGTATGTTGTACCACGAGTGTGTGTGGCACAAAAACCAAGAATATGAAATTGGAAGGATGAACAATGCTAGAACGCCTAGTATAAACCTAGAGATGACATTGGCTGTAGCTAGCCTTGGTTTTGACATGCGGCTAAAGTCCTGTGTTGCCCTTGATTTATTATTTATTTTCGTCCTTTTAAAGCTAAGCCCCTGATGGCTGATATACTCCTAATAATTATATTATCCTTTTGGATTCTATGAAAGTTCAGTCATTTAAAGCATATTTCTGCTAAATTATTGTATGGTATATCTATCGAATGCGCGGCGATAACTTTTTGACAGTGTGTCACACGCTGAGAAATGAGTTTGAAGTACTGTATATCTTATTGCAGCATCATCTTCCAAATCCACACATGCATTTTAAATTAATGTACAGTACGATAGGACCCTAAAATTCTTGCTTGAATTGTAATTTGAACCATGGAGGAATTTTTATTTCCTGTTGGTTGTCTGTCGTCTGTCCTGGTAATGCATCCAGATGCACGTTTATGTGTTTGGCGTGGTACATGCAGCCTTGGACACTCCTGCGGTGCGGAAGAAATTGAAGATCGCCCGCGTCGAGGCCTGCCTGCGCAGCTGGCACACCATCTACAATCAGGTGTGCTGATTTGATTTTCACATTTGTCAATCCAAACAATTCCTTCTGTTGTTCATCCCGTCGTCTTCATTTTTCAGTTCACTTTTTCTCGAATATGAACCTCTCTTTCCTCATGAACCTCTCTCACTATGACCCTCTTTCACTATGAACCCCTCTTTCCTTATGAACCTCTCTCACTGGAATCTCTAGCTCTAGAACTGTATAGCTCTAAGGCTAGAGCTGTAGCTCTATAACTATATAGCTCTATAGCTATAGCTGTAGCACTAAAACAATGCACTAGAACCTCTTATTGAACTAGAACATCTAGCTCTGAAGCGTCTAGCTCTGAAACGTCTAGCTCTGAAATGTCTAGCTCTGAAATGTCTAGCTCTGAAACGTCTAGCTCTGAAATGCCTAGCTCTGAAATGCCTAGCTCTGAAACCTCTAGCTCTGAAACCTCTAGCTCTGAAACCTCTAGCTCTGAAACGTCTAGCTCTGAAATGTCTCGCTCTGAAATGTCTAGCTCCAAAACGTTTAGCTCTGAAACGTCTAGCTCTCAGATGCCCAGCTCTGAAATGTTCTGCTCTGAAACGTCTAGCTCTGAAATGCCTAGCTCTGAAACGCCTAGCTCCGAAATGTCTACCTCTGAAAGGTCTAGCTCTGAATTGTCTAGCTCTGAAATGTCTAGCTCTGAAACGTCTAGCTCTGAAACCCCTAGCTCTGGAACAACTAGCTCTGGAATGTCTAGTTCTGAAACGCCCAGCTCTGAAACGCCTA